ATATATATATATATATATATATATATATATATATATATATTCTTTGTGGTTTTGATATATGTTATTTTCTTTGTTCCAATTGATTAGGTATCATGCTTTATAGTACTTCTTACTCAGTTTCTAAATATGTATTTTATTTTTAAAAACTTAAAATTTTAATATCCAAAATTTATGAACAAAATTAAGACATTTATTTCTCAAAATTTGATTTGTGGCACATCAATTGAGACAACAAAAGTATTTTACTTATTTCATTTTATATGACATCAATTCTTTTTTTGTTTTTTCCTTAAAAAATTGTCATTTCTATAATTAGAAGCAATTTAGTTTTAAAAATTCTAAAAAAAATATATATAGTGAAAATTAGAAAGAAATTACGAAACACTTTTGTTACCTATTACTCACTTTGTCTCAATATATCTAAAACTCTTTCCTTTTAGTCTCTTTTCAAAAAATAAAATAATATATTTTTATATTTACTGACAATTAAATTTTAAAATGTTCATATTATCTTAATAAAATGATTTATAGCAATATAAATATTTGTGACTTATTTAAAACATGAGTTTCAAAAGGAGGTTTTTTCTTATTAAAATTTTATATCAAATGAAATAACATCGTATAAATTGAAACATAATTAAAGAGAACTTTTGTCCCTACAAAATACAAAGGTTGGTGATACATAAATTAAATACGTAATTATTAACTTATGTTTTGACCTTTAAGGAAATAAATAATTTCGGATAATGCATAAGTACCCCTCAACCTATGTCCGAAATCTCAGAGACACACTCATACTATACTAAGGTCCTATTACCTCCTGAACTTATTTTATTAATAATTTTTTTACCCTTTTTCAGCTTACGTGACACTATCTTGCGGGCCAACGCTGGTTGACTTTTTTTTCCCCCAAGATTATGCAGGATTATACACAAAAGATCCTTTTTTGGCTCTTTCTTTAGCTAATGCCACGTAAGCCGAAAAGGGATAGAAAATTACTTATAAAATAAGTCCAAAGGAATAATAAATTCTTAGTATAATATAAGTTTCTCTGAGATTTCGGGCATAGGTTGAAAGATACTTGTGCATTTTTTTTCAAATAATTTTTATATAATAATTGTCAACCTCAGAAATTGTTTCTCTTTTGTTTGAAGAACACTTGCACCATTAAACTTCAATTATTAGGAGATAATATTGAGAAAAGTCCACTCTAATGTTACTTAAATTATTATGGGCAAGTTATTATTATTTGTTGGCTATTATTTTGATGGACTACATATCAAATTAAAGTCAAGTGTAAAGACTATTTCCAAGTCCAAAAAGTCTTTGTATACCTAATTTAATTACTCTGTTATTTTAAATTAGCTGTATATTTCTATGCAATGTTTCATTATCCTAAGAGTGCAGTCAGCTAAGTATATGTACAAGTATTGCATATTCATTAAATAATTTACTTGGCAATTATTAAATTTAGTCTCAGCAATTTTTTTTATTTTCTCTAATCTAGTATTCGACGTTTAGTATCTGATTTTTTTGATAACTTAATATGTTTTAAATTTTTACTTTAAAGGTAAGACACTCTCTATTAAATTTGATTACGTTCCTAACGTTAGTGATGATTTTTTAATCTTTTCCATTATGTAATCAAGTATCTTTTACATGAAGATAATCAATCCGATTATTGTGTTCGAGTTCTATATCATTTTCTATCTATTCCTTCTCTGAGCTCTAATTATGAAAGAGGTAATCGAGAAACCACTAATTTTATTACGAGATAATTCATTATATTTATCGAGAAGTAATCTTTAAAACTATTGGATAGTCGAATATGGAATAACAATACAAACTTAACATAAAGCACATATACCTCCCCCTATCGGGAGCGTGCTACCTGCTCGACGAAATGCCTCAGTAAGATGAAACACCGGTAGCTTGCCCTGTATGTCTCAAATAGCTCCCGATAGTCCCTATTACAATCGGCTTTTCATCTTTGAGCTCTTCTACTATCAATGCTCCTAAAATTGGTCGATCAATAAGCCCTACGCATCTCTCTGAAGGTGAATTTCCGACTGAACCAACACTGTTTTTAGAATTTGGCGTATCGTCTTGAGAACATTCAACTAACCAGCTTGAGAGACTAGCATCATTCTCTCCGCGCTTCAAATTAGGCTCTTCTTTTGCACGATTACGCGTGGTACTAAAATCAAGAAGATTCATATCAATGTTCTCCTTCTCCTCTTGTTGATTCAATAGTGATGGAGGCGTTGTAATGCTAGTGTCTTTCAATAGACATGGATTTCGAATTGGATTCAGCACTGGTGATCTATGTTGCTCAGACTCTTCAAAACTGTTGTCACATTCGTGTCGAAAATGCACTACTTCTTGAGGTTCCGATACTTTTTTGAAACGTCTGAGCAACATAGGTTTCAATGGACTGTTGACCTCCTCCTTGTCGCACATGATTTCGGGGATGGGATTATTTCCATTCCGAGTGGAGTTGTCTATGGAGAGTGAAAACAATGACTCGTAAGACGACTCTTCACGATTCGATTCATTTCCATCACCATTGTTGTTAGCTTCATCTTCGAGATCAATATCTTCGAATTCATCATTGCTGTTTCTGCAACAATGATATCGATGATTCTGAGGATAAGATATATAGCTTGACACACTTGAATTTGAAACCTCTTCCACTTCTTCTTCTTCTTCTCCGTTATGTTTCTGCAAATTGCTCAGATACTGCGAGCAATTTGCAGAAACTTGATTTGATAATAAGCCCTCATCATTTTTGCTGTTTTTATTCGACTCTTCTTCTTCCTCCTCGACCCTGTTTTTCGAAGAATTTGAGTGAACGAAAACAACAGACAAAATTGAATATTTTTTTTAAAAAAAACTTACTTGGATTCTTCAAACAGGTTAATGGAGTTCACAATCTTGTGTCGAGCTTCTTTTTTAGCATCAATGGCGTCTACATAAGCTTCGCCATTCTCATCGAACTCGAGCAAATTCTCTCTGCTAATTATATCCCTGTTTTTTTTAAAACAGATTTGAGATAACCAAAAAAAAAACACAAAATTGCATCTTTTTCGTTTTGAAAAATTAAATAAAAAATCGTACTTTGATTCTTCGATGAGGTTTATGGATTTCACAATCTTGTCGTGGTGATTAACTTCTTCTTTCGTACCATTAATGGCTACAATATCTTCACCTTTTTCGCGAGTCTCGAGCAAATCCTTTAGAAAATAACACAAGAAGCTAATCAAACTCAAAATTCAAAGTAAAAGGGTCGTTTTAGTTAAAGTCAAAGTGAGCACGCGAGTGTGCGCCTAAGACCTTTCCCTTCGGTCAACTGAATCTCCTTATCGGATTTTTAGTTATTTACTAGAAGAATAATATGATTGTGTCTAAGGCCTTCCTCTCGATCAACTGAATAATAAATAGTGATTATTACGACGTACCTGGAGAGCTTGAGGAGAGATACTATTGATCTTGTTACTACATGACTTTTTTGTGATGATTTTCTTGTGATTGGAATTAGTACGAAAACAACATGTAAAACACTTCATTTTTTTTCTTTATGATTGGGTTCTTCAATGGAAAAAAATTATGAATATGATGATGATTAATGGGAAATTGTGATAAAAAGAAGAAAAAAACAGGGGAAAAGATGGAGTATTTTTGGGGGACACAACGGTTTGAAAAGAAAGTTACCGTTGGTTTTGTCAGTTAGCACTGAGTTTTTGATAAATTATAAGCACACTTGTCTTCTAATGATTTTGTGGTTATCTAGTACTCCCATA